AAATGATATTTATATGGCTCTTTCACATATATATGTGTATATATATACACATATATATATATACACATATATATGTTACATATATACACATATATATGTAACATATATATTCTTAGATACATAGAAATATCTCATTTGCTCAAGTCTCACTTTCTATAAAGTGCTATACTATAGGAATTACTCTAATTCCTTTTTTAGAGGTGAAGACAAATATTTTTTCAAGATTGAAAAAAAAATTTTTTTGAGAGACAGAGCATGGCTCTGTCACTCAGGCTAGAGTGCAGTGGCTCAGTCACACCCCACTGCAGCCTGGAACTCCCGAGCTCAAGGGATCCTCCCACCTCAGCCTTCTGAGTAGCTAGAACTACAGGTGAATGTCATCACTTCAAGCTAATTTTATTTATTTGTTTATTTTTTGAGGCGGGTTGGGGGGGCGGTTTGCTATGCTTGCCTAGGCTGATCTTGAAGCTCTGGCCTCAAGTGATTCTCCTGCCTTCATCTCCCAAAGTGCTAGGATTACAGGTGTGAGCCGCCTGGTCAGTTTTTGATGAATTGGCTTACATCTGATTACATAATAATAAGTGGTAGAGACAGAACAGAAATGCATGTGCCTCAATTCTAACCAAGGTTCTTAACCTGTTTTACTATTATTGTTGACATCTTACTAAAGCAGTAAAAAAGACAACCTGGCAAATATAAATAACATCATAATATACAATTATGCTGTAGTCATAGCCTCCATTTAGAAATTAGAATATTTGACCAAAGATAAAACTTTCTATCCTATCAGGATGCCTTTCAATTGAAAGTATGAAAAATATTAAGAGTGGCTTAAATAACAAAGAAGCGGCATTCCTTCACACAATTCAGTGGTTCAGTGATTGTCAGTTGCATACTGGTTTCTCTTATGCTCACCTGGCTCTGCCTTTCTGGTCCCGAGAGAAATGCGGCTGCTGCCTTCAAGGAGCAAGCCCAAAGGGAGGAAATGCTGAGCCTCTCCCCATCTCTCTGTCAGGAGGAAAACCTTTCCTAGAAATCACTGAAATTCTGCACCACTCTCATTGGCTTTGCCTCTCCTTGCTTCAACCAATCTATGCCAAAATAACTCTCATGGTCACGATTAGTTCTCAGATGAATCAACATTCACCCCTTGGAGTCGCAGAGATTTTCCAGGAACACCTGGGTGGGTGAAAACTTGAACAGTATCTGTGTTTCTCTCATCAGCAAGGAGCATCCAAAGAACAGATACTGGGTGGGCAATCAACAAGCTCTGTGTTTGCTAAAACCATGTTTCCATTTAAGTGTATGTTCACTGCTAAGACATCAATACATATTTAAAGAAACCTTAATTCCACAATTGCTAATTCTGAAACTTCTTTCTATTTTCCACAGATATATATTACTCGTTTCAGACAGTGGTTTTTTCCACACTCCCTGAATGCTGCCACTCCTCACTCTCCTCTTATTGGAGTTTCTTGAGTTAAGTAAGTCATGGCTCATGATTCTTTGTACTAGCTAATCAGGATATCAGTACTATACTACATGAAAACTGTGTAGCTCAACTTTCCTTGGATTTCTCCTCCAATGCATTTATGTAATGATATATGTAGCCTAAAAGTTTACTTGATAGATTGACAATATCAATCAATGAATCAATCAATTTAAGTACAATCAACATGAGTCACCTGTAAGCAAAAGACTGTTTTTCTAAGTTGCAACCTAACAATATCTAGAAGCTTCTGTATGTGTTGATGGTTCTCAAAATCAAATATTAATATTAGAACTACTGAATTATTTACCCAAATTTCTGAATAAAATTAAGCAAAGGATTCAAATCATATTATAATTCCTAGTTTTTAAGGCCAGAGAAGGTAACTGCTTCTGTCTGCTAAAGGCACCAAATATAATACCAGATAATATCAGTGTCAAATAAAACTCTTTCATTTAAAAATGAATTGCTATTCATGACATCCCCAAATAATTTCAGTTTATAAATTTGAGTATTATTTTCATGAAATGGATCACTAATTTAATTTCTAAAATTTATATTTCCACAGATTTGGAATTTAGAGCTTCTGATGAGAATATGATTGGAAGTTAGAGAAAGAGGGGGTAGTCTCCCAAATCTTAGTAAGTGCCGTTCCTAATTCCCTAAGTAGAGTTTGTCAACTTAGGCACTGTCATTTTAGAGCAGGTCATTCTTTGTTTCAGGGCCTGGCATATTGATTGTAAGATATTAAGCAGTACCCCTGTAAGATATTTAGCAGTACTCCCTGACTAGATGTCAAAGTGCCTCCTTTCCCTAGTTGTGATAAAAGACTTCAGACATTGCCAAATATCCCCTGGAGGCAAAATAAAAATTGCCTCTTTTCTTACTCAACCTGTTAAGAACCACTACCCTAAATCAAGAATGAGCATTTGAAGTAATTATGTTGTAACATTGTTATTATGATTTTTCCTCTTCGGTTTAGTCATATTTGATTTAACCTCCAGTCAGATGCACTGCCAGTTATTAGAGTTAATTAATTAAATAATAAACTCAAAGGCATTTCCAGCACTTGTCTTTTTTTTTTTTTTTTTTTAATGGAAAACCTTTCAGTAAGGGTATCACAATGGTTATTAGTATCTATTTTCTTTAAAAACAAAATAGAAAACTAATCTATCCTTTTCATTTAAAAATGAAAAAGATTGGGCAATAAAAACAATTAATTGAATCTAAAGGCACAAATATTTATACACGCCAGGCTATTAAATCCAAAACCTAAACTTACAATACAGTATTTTGACCCAATAATTTGATCCATTTCTCAAAAAAACTCAAGTGATCTAACATTTTCTAAATCTGCACTATGTATTTATATATATTATGGTTAACATAATATGTGGGATGATATTTGGGAAATTTAAAGGAAATATACACAACATATCACCACAGAACAACAATTCACATTATTTGATCTTCTTTTTCTTTCTTTTCTTTTTTTTTTTTTAGGAAGTTTCCCTTTTCTCCCTGTAAATAATAACGATGAGCTTGAAGAGAATGACCAACACTTTAGGCTATTTTATGCATGAGAAATAGGAAAACCACAGCTGCAAGATCAACAGAGGACAGCAATGAAGAGGAGCTAACAGATCCGAGTGGAGCTCTCTAAGGCAGCAGTAAACCAAAGGAGAAACAGAAAACTGTTGACTGTGGAAGCTATAAGAGATTCCTAGGCAACAAAGAGGTAGAAAATTGGACCATAGATAGGAAATGTAAAGAGTAATTTATCCAGAGGAACGGTTCTGAGATTTAATGAGGCAAAAAGTCACCTGTTGAGATGCACATTCTGATTCAAAATGTCTGGAGCAGGGTCTGGTAGCCTGGATTTCTAATAATCTCCCAGATGTTGATGTTGCTGGTTTGTCCCTGTGCCACACATTACCCAGCAAGGTGCTAGACTACCCCACTCTCTACCTCCAACACAGATCTGGAAGTAAAAGTGCCAACTCCATCCCATCACGTTATCTTTGAGATTAACAATGGGGGACTTCATTTCCTCCAATTCTCAATATATAAAGATGTGTTACCATTATACTTTCTTTAAAGGAAAACAGAAGCCAGACTGTTGCTGTGAAATACAAGATAATTTCTTGTTGTTTATAAAAATAAACATTTACATATCTATTAGTAAAATGTTACTGTAGTTTTTGCTTTTCTTATATCCTGAAGCAGCAGGTTCTCTGGTATATTCCTGAAGAAGTCATGAAACATTCAACTTTCTAAAATCAAAATTAAGGTGAGGTTTGACTTTTAGATGATTAGTTTCAAATGAGTTTTGCAGCTCAATCTTGAGTTTTGATTCATTCTTTATGACAACCTAGCCTGTGCTTTTATCCTAATCATTTGATTCCTTTTACACCTCTGGGAAAACCAAATCCTGGCTTACTTCATACTCTCTCCTCTAAAGTAACTAATGAGGACTTGATTTTAGGTTTTGGCATTTTGTCAAAGTCAAGATGTGTCAGGAAGATAAGCAGACACAAAGAGGAGAGATAGATGAAGTATCGCTGATGGAAAACATCCGCTTGTGAAGAAGCTGGTAGTATCATTAAAATGTGTATATTTAGTCACAAAAATCTGAAGCCTAAGCACCAATACGAAGTGGAAGTCGTTACGATCTCTTGAAAAGGAGATTATCATAGAAGGACAGGAATACATAAATTTGTTCCTATGACAAATATTTCAAAATAGCACTTTGCATATTTCACAAGCTATACTTAGAAACAAAAAAGGTATGCTTAGGAATTTATTACACAATTTTGTAGGGACAAGAGATTTACAAATGTAAACCCCCCCCCCATTTTTCTGAAAAAATAGAAGAAAAATTTTCTCTCAGAAAAAGCTTATTATAGTCATTCAGAGCACCAGAATGCTACACACTCTTTAATTTGTATCTGGATTGATAAAATACCAAAGCTATGTAAAAAGTTTAAAACTTAAAGACAGCATCAAATTTTTCTAAATAATATTCCGAGTTTTAAACTGATGTAGGCAAATTGTAGACATTTTAAATTAAGACAACATAGGTTTATACTGTTGACAAAGAAATCCTGCCTACTTGGAAAAGCAGTTACAAAGGTTGGTATTAAGGCTATGACTTTGGAGATTACCATCGCCAAATACGCACTTTCTATATTACCTGAAATTTAGATAGTCTAATTAATTCAACTATTCTGATCACATCATGGAAAGTCACTCTTACGTCATTGACATGATGCCAATAATGATTAAACTATTTAATCAGTCCATTCAAGCAACTGATACATTCAGAAGGAATAGTGTCTTCAAAATTCTTAGTAGCTCCATTGGACACAAATGTCAAGCTGGTTACTTCATATATTGAATACTCCTATAAATATAATTTGTCACCAGAAGTGAGAATTCAATAAATTTGCCTGCTCTTTAAGAAAGGTAATGGAGAAAATCATCTTTCTTTTTGATGGTTTATTGAACTCACCCCATGCGATGGATAAGAGATCCAGCCCAGCTCCCCTTGAATTGTTTTTGAATCCAGTAGATTGACTAAAAGAAAACAAAATACACAAACACAGTTAATAAAAGTAAATTATTTATATTTGCTTCTGTTGAATTCACATTGCCTGTTGTTGACGTTGCTCAAAAATCTTAATTTCCTTTTCATTATAAGTCTATAAATAGTATAAAAAGAAGGAAATTACAAAGATACACCATAGGGAAATTTGAGACCAAAAGTGTGTGTGTCCTTTTAAACTGTTTGCATTTGTTTACAAGGATAGGTGAATGTTCAATATACCGATAATTTCTGATATAATAATTACAGGTTTAAAGAGGAAACAATGAAAATGCAAAACAGAAAATAACATGAATGTTAGCATATTAAAATAACTTTAAAAATATTAAATTTGATAAATTTACATATGATTCCACAATTAATTTATTTCTTAAATATGTTGCCACAGTGAATCAATATACCTGTTTATTTATATCTAATATGGCACTTTCATATTGTCCCTGGCTAATATTCAACATATTATTCTGCAATATGTATTTTTAAAACTATTTAAATATTTATTATTTACTTATATGTAACAAACGAAAAGCTTAACTACCAATTTGAGGAGAAATCAAAGTAAAACTATGTTTTATAATAACACTTGTGTAAGGTTTTATTTATTTAAAGCAGTTATTTTTACTCAAAGGCTGAAGTGATTTTACTCAGAATTTGTGCTAGTTCTAATGACTTTTAATCAGTATTTGTAGACAAAAAGTAAAATGTAACATGCATATGGTTGCATTTTGAATATATTATTAAAAGAAAATGGAACATTATATATTTTTCACACAGAATATTAATTTGTAATGGGTTAGAAAATAAAATATAAAACAGCACTTCAAATACAATGAATAACAAAAGGTTCACTTTGTCTATCTGACCTATTAAATAATGAAAACTATGGTTTTAGCTCATCTTTCTTCTGAATTAAAAAAAAAAAGAATCCCATGATTGACTAATGGAAGATGTGAAGGAAGGTTACATAAACTAAGTATGCATTATTAACATGAAGCAGACCATGAAAATCAATAAATACAATAGAAGAGAATGATTTTCAGGGGTTACATATATACACAAACCAAAACATAATGTAAATAACATACACTGTACAACATATTCTCATGTTGTCAATAAAGCATTTCCTGATACATGAAAAGTACCATCCTTTTGAAAATCATCTCAACTAGTTTTTTTTTTTTTTTTTGCAAAGCAAACTTTAATCGTATAAAATGTCAGAAAAAATAAATTACGTATTTGATAGACATTAGGTTTCTAAATTTTCAAGCAGCACTAAAATTTTGATTACCTGGTTAGATGATAAATACATTAGGTGAGTATAAGTAAGGTATTGATAATTATAATATAAAAGAAATATAGTTCTCAAATTTAGATTCTTTAAGTTTTGCTAGTGAAAGGTAAACATGAACTTTACGTTTTATAATTTCTTAATAATTAAAGAATTTTTCTCCCAATAAATTAATCCTAATGAGAAGTAATTGTATTTAGATTAAAACAGAAGACAGCTGCTTCATGGATAACATAGTATAATTTCCATAATTGAATTATTTCCCATGATATCAGTTTGGAAATTAACAGAATGGTTAATTATATTGCAATTATGTCTCAAAATAATTAAAAACCCTCTACCAACTGATCAATGTTATAGATTATATTTCAGATCAGTGTGAGAGAAAATTTTTAAAATGATGAAAATACTTTCTCACCTTTACATTAAATGATATTACCAACATTCATTCTGATAAAAGATATACCTAGTTTAGTTGTTGGTTGTATCATACCAGTCATTTAATTTCTCTGAGCTTTATGTGGGATTTACATAGTAGAAATGACCTTGCCAGTATGCATGAATTATTAGATATATTTGCAATGTCCTTAGGGGTTTAAATGGCTTAAGGATTACTTCAGCATTACTTCTGATTCTGTTTTTAATGTCTATCAAGCAATTATATCTTCCCTGAGTATCTTGCAATGTTGCTGTGATGATCAAATAACATATATTTAAAAGCACCATGAGTTTATAAGTTCATAATATGCTGTACAGAACCCCTTCTTGTAAACTGAATATATTCATATTATTTAACAACAGTTTCATTTTTGGCTTCCGAATTTTATTTATAATTTAATTACAAGACCCAAATACGTGACCTAGTTGAGTAGAATAGCTAACTTCAAAACACTTTTTTAAAAGCGCATACTTCGGATTTATAAGGTGCCTTGTGTTTGTACCCAAATAAAAATAACAGCGTCTAAGAATTCTAAACACTTTAAAGTGAATGGTTAGTTAATTGGGACTCCCAGGATACAAACCTCAAGTCTCTTGTGATCTATTGTAGAACAGTTTGCTTATACAGCATAATTGGGGTGAGAAAATAAAATGAATAGAATTTCAAAGTAAATCTGTGAGAGATTTATCTGCATACATTGACCAAATCTAACACTGCAATACGTATCTTTTTTTTTTTTTTTTTTTTTTTTTTTTTTTTTTTTTTTTGAGACGGAGTTTTGCTCTTGTTACCCAGGCTGGAGTGCAATGGCACCATCTCGACTCACTGCAGCCTCTGCCTTCTGGGTTCAAGCAATTCTCCTGCCTCAGCTGCCTGAGTAGCTGGGTCTACAGGCACGGGCCACCATGCCAGCAAATTTCTGTATTTTTAGTAGAGACGGGGTTTCACCATGTTGACCAGGATGGTCTCGATCTCTTGACCTTGTGATCCACCCACCTCAGCCTCCCAAAGTTCTGGGATTATAGGAGTGAGCCACTGCACCCGGCCTGCAATACATTTCTTAAACCCCCCACTGATACAGGCAAGAACTCCCCTCTCTAAACTTGTGTAGACCTGATCATTTCCTTAGGACAAACAGGATAGGCTGATGAGTTGTGACAAACAAATATAATACTCTAGACTGAGTTTGATTTGTACTAGTAATTGGATAGTTTATTTCCATTGCTGGACAATATGAGTTCACAATTCTAAAATCTGACAACAAAAAAGGAAAATTTTCTTAAGGCTAGATAGGAACATACGCACGACTTCATTCTTTAATGACTACCTCAGGCCACTTAATTATTAAAGCTATCAGTTACCCCTCACCAGGTTTCATATTTTAAGGATGTGACTGCTAAATAATTTTGGTATGTAACCAAAAAACACATTATTTTATTAATTTCAGAATATTTTATATTCAAACAACTATATGGCATATATTAACTTTTTAAATGAAAGTGATTTAAATTTGAAACGTTTTTAAATGTCATGATTAAGTTGGTAAATAAGCGAAGTTTTATTGGGCAAAAATCAAAGTGGAAATCACCATCCTAAATCTAGATGGATATTGTTCTAGGTTTTTCTTTCACATGCTTTACTCACTCTAGTCTTATTGCTTTTAAATTGAGATGTATGGGGAGAAGGGGTTTATATTCATGAGATGGAGAAGGCAGTTCTTACTTAGACTGTTGACTTGCCTTTCAGATGGGCACTAAGTTAATGAGATTTGGAAAGAAGGAATGGTGGTTTCTGATGTAAATAAGAAGGTGTAGAATGCAGTAAAGGAGTACGAAAAAAGTATAAGCCTGGCCACGATGGCTCACGTCTGTAATCTCAACACTTTGGGAGGCCTAGGTGGGCAGATCATTGGAGGTCAGGAGTTCAATACCAGCCTGGCCAACATGACAAAACCCTGTCTCTACTAAAAATACAAATATTAGCCATCGTGCTGGCACCTGCCTGTAATCTCAGCTACTCAGGAGGCTGAGGCAGGAGAATCACTTGAACGTGGGAGGCAAAGTTTGCAGTGAGCTGAGATGGCACCACTGTACTCCAGCCTGAGTGACAGAGAGAAACTCCATCTCCAAAACAAAATAAAGAAAGAAACAAAGTATAGAGTAAATTGACTCAAATTGGCCATAAGTACCTATGGAAAGGAGGAAGTCTGGATGTCGTTTCTGCCACTGATGTCTACTGTTACATTTTCACCTCTGTTGGATTTTAGGATTAAGATTCCCCAGAGTCATGCTCTCTCTTCTATTCCTATCCTCCACCATAATGGAGAGATTCAATCAAAAGTCCACTGTTAGTGGACTTAATAGTATTGGTAGTGTCACAAAGAATTGTCTATTCCAAGAATTTACATCATCTTTTCTTCTTAGTAAAAGAAACAAATGAGATTTTTAAAAAGTTCTCAGTTACTAAAATAAGAGTTTGAAACAAATGTTCTCCGTTAAGTGAGGGCTATTAAAGACGTCATATATGTTTCTAGAGTTTTGATTTTTAGAGAATTATTAACACACAAAGATTTGTAAAGGACATCTCGAAATTCTGATTCATAGTGGCTACTTGTCCACTTAGAAAGACTGAGAGTGAAACTAATATTCATACCTTGAAAGAGTTTTAAGTGCTATGAACATGCAAACAGTGCTAAAAGGGTTTTTAAAGTTAAAAGCCACAGTTTTTTATTAAAGCACATCTTTCCAATTACCAAATAATACAATCACAGGCTTTGTAGTAATGCTATAGTCGCATTTTATGGAACTGAGTTATAAATAATTATTAAACAATCATTTCAAGGTGAACAGTAGGCTTTAATGGCTAAAGAAATTCCAACTCATATGATAATGCATGTTTTCTTGTAAAACTTTCAGTTATAAGGGACTTTTATAGGCAAGTATAAAACCACTACAATAGAAAATAAGCCAATCCTTTGATTACATCTTGCTTTTGCTAAAGAGTAATGACATTTTCTTTCTATGTTCACCATCACTTGTCCCAGCCTCATTTCACATACACTTGTCTTTATCATTTTCATCACTTTCTGTTATAGGAAGCAGAATAACTTTGCTCTAGGTTACCGGACTACACAGAGCTCTTTAATCTGCTTCAAAATATATTTAAATGTCACAAATAGAAGAAAATGATAGAGAAAGAAAGAAATTTTGTTCTCAGTGTTATAATGCTCTGTGTAGTTCTCCAGG